GTTTTAATTGTGTTTTATGTAGGCTGTGTTTTAATTGTGTTTTATATAGGCTGTGTTTTAATTGTGTTTTACATAGGCTGTGTTTTAATTGTGTTTTACATAGGCTGTGTTTTAATTGTGTTTTACATAGGCTGTGTTTTAATTGTGTTTTATGTAGGCTGTGTTTTAATTGTGTTTTATGTAGGCTGTGTTTTAATTGTGTTTTATATAGATTGTTTTTGAAGCTACTTGAAGATACATATCTCACTCTAAGAAAAAAAAATTAAACTTTCTTCTCTATCATAAATCTCAAGGAAATTCTTTATGAAATGAATTCAAGTTATCAGTACAAGAAAATAATATACTTGTTGTACTACTACTACTATTGTCAAAATAATTGAGTCATGTATGTCCAGTTATGCTGTAAATTAGTCTTGTTTTTTCAAGTAACATCTTTTAACAATGACTTCTTTTACTTTTGTTCATAGTATGACTTGATTTGTATTCGAATTATTGTGGAGAAAACTACAACCAATTAAACTATGTGATAGAAAGTTCTGGTCGAATATCACTAATGTACAATACGTGTGTTTGAAACATATCACTAATAAGTCTGTCTAATAGTATTTATTTTGTCTGTTTGATACGTCTGACCAGAGGGTTAGTAAAGAGATGTTCAGAGTCTAAAACTTAATTCCTAAGAATTATCTCAAAGTTACTTAGAACATGTTTTTCAAGAACTCTATAAAGAATAGATGATTAATGAAAAAAAATCTCTGCTTTTGTTGTTGAATTATTTTAAGTATAAAATATTTAACGTTTGTTAGATCTATATGCAAGTTCCTTGAATTGTTTGTCTTGTATGTTGTTCGTAAACATTGACAAACAACAGCAGTGCCACCTGTGGAAGAGGTTTGTTAATAGATATCTACTCAGGTTTATATAGGTTAGAAAAATTTTCTTCTTTCGTATTTAAAAATTATGTTTTATGTAAGTTTTTCTATTATTCATTGTTTAGGGTCCCTTAGTTGCAAACCTTGTCGCTTTGCTTCGTCTCATGGACGAACAACATTACTCCCATTTATGGGAGAAGTTTGGCGACAGGCACCAGATCAGTGATCGTAGAGAGTTGAAAGATTTTTTGATGCAAGTTTTTATTGTGTTTCGTGAACTTCTAAAGCAGGATATTTTTCCTCGAGATTGGGTCGTTATGAAGATGGTCGCTAATCAGTAAGTTATATTAGAATGTATCAGGTGAATCCCCTTTTCTTGAATTTTATGTTATCTCAAGTTTTTGGTTAAATTTACTGTACTCCTATGCATAAAATGCTTTTCTAGTCACAAGAACAGCACTTCATTTGCTGTTTTAACGATGTTTTTTTATTGTTCTGTACTAACCTCGTGAAAATATCCACATTCTTTAATACGGAATGGTGTAATAACATTTTAATGTCATATCTTATGTAACTGTTACAGCAATGTCACAAGTAATTCATAACTAGATACTTTGTTAAAATAAACAGTAGTATTTGAATATAATTTATAACCCTAACACTCAAAAATATGATGAAACATTTTTTCATGTGTTTACTAACTGAAAGCCTCCTAGTGGGTCAGCAGTGAGGGCTTATAACACTAAAAATGGAGGTTTTTGTACCTGTGGAAAGTACAGTTAACCTGTCCCCCAGTGGCACAGCGGTATGTCTGCGGACTCACAACGCCAAAAAACCGGGTTTTGATACCCGTGGTGGGCAGAGCACAGATAGCCCTTGTGTAGCTTTGTGGATAATTAAAAAACAAACAAACAGTTAACCTATTGTGTAGCCTTGTGCTTAACAAAAAAAACTAACAAAGATTTTAACATTTCTACGAAGAGACTATGCTCATTATTATAGAGATACCTCACCGCCCTCTATTGGCAGTATTCACTAAATAAAACAATGACAGAAAAAGCTGAGTTCATAGCCTCATTCTTTTGATAAAAAAAAAGACTTTCTCACTGAGATAAACAAGAAAAATTAGCTGAAGAAACTAATTAATGATACTGGAGAACAACATTAGATCACAAAGTTTATAATTCACAATTACTAAAACAGTAACAAGAATAACAGACACAACAGTAAGGAGACTGTTACTTTTGTTAGAAAAACGTCCACAAAGGTGCAATATTAAAATGTGATATTAAAGAATGTGCTTTTATTACCAGTATAATTGTGATAAAGAAAGGCCTACTTTCTGTAAGCATTTATATTTTTAATATTTGTGCTGAAATATGTAATAATGAGAAATACATTAATTGGCTTTTATTACCAGAATATCTGTGATAAAAAAAAAAAGGCCTATCTTCTGAAAGCTTTTATATGGGCTGAAATATGTAATGAAAAATACATTTGTGACTGAATTTAATAGCATTTGATTGTCTTTTTGTATGTGATTTCTATAAGATATGAATATTATTTGTTCCATAGTTTTACTGTGATCAGTCTTCGTCATTAAGAGTAGGGTAATAGTAGTATATTTTTTGTAATTTTTAGTGTCATTCTTTGTGCATTACAAGAATTTGCTCAACCATTGACAATTGACTTTTTGGAGACTGGATCTTTCGATGCTCAGGTAACACAGCTGATCGGTACTTTTTTTTGCCATCAGAAACACAAAGAGCCATTACCATACTTTTTTGTAATGATCTTGGTTTTCTGTAATATAATAATTTTTGTGTTTGAAATATGCAATTTAGAACATAATTTATCTGGCTTTTTAATTAAGCTATGAACGAGTTAAAAAGAAACATATTGTTAGCTGGTTGAGTCAAACACAACAATGGCAAACAATGAAATTGAGGACAAAAATTTCCGAACCTTTCACCTGAACAATTTAGCCTTTTAATGTTCACTTTCTATGTCCAGGAAAATTATTGACATATTTTGAAAGTCGAGATGTGGGTTTTACTTTCTTGTGTATATTCTTAGTAAAGCAAGAAGGCTGGAGCCCATAGGTTTACATTATGACTTATCAATATGTGTAATATAAGTGTGTAATTTGTGCCAAATGTTGACGATCATATTGGAGTAGATGTTAAATCTAAAACGGGAAATTTGGAGTAACGAAACGTTACATGATACAGAGAAGTGAAGATTGAAAACTTATTTATTTAAAGCTTATATAATATTCAAAGATGAATTACAAATAAGTTTAATGACATACATTGATAATCAAGTTGTTTAATTATGTTCTTCATGTAACTGTTTAAAAATCTTCACACGTGCACTTTGACCCACTCATGCATGTAGGTTTAAATGTCAGTTTCATAAAAGACAAAGTATATCATTTTAGAGAGTTAAAACTCTTGGCAACTGTTCATTATTTGCATTTATAAGAACTTTTCAGCGTGTCTGTTTGAATAATTGAGATGAATTTAGACAGATGTGATATGACATTTTTTGTGAACTGTATGTTAGATTTGACTGAGTATCATTAACTGTGGGCTACCATTTGGGCTGAAGTATTTGTGTTTAATGTAACTTTTAGCTTTGGAGTAACTACTTTACCCTGGCTGTGGCCTTTCTCACTCAACCATCACTGCAGCTGGAAACCTTCTTGGAGGTCAAACGAGACAAGATTCTGGGGAAGTGAGTATGTTGATAAAAGTCAGAATATTGTGAGCATCATTAATTTGTTATACATGTGAAACTAACACGAATATTTTATCACCTAACTTTTGAGCCATGGCATAGTGGCTCATAGAATGGCTCTTAATTTTTATTTTATTTTTTCAAGTACAAACTTTTACCTCATAGCTCCATCATTTCTTGACCAATTTGAGATCAAATTACAGTTTTGAACTCAGGGGGTCAAACCCTGTCAATTGATATATTTGACCACACCCAAGGTCTCAGTTTAATTTACTCTAATCCTGTCAAACAGAATTACAATTTGAGGGTAGGCTGATAGAGATTCTCATGAGTAATAAAATCAAATCGGGTATATGTATGTCCCACGCTTGGTATAGCTATTAAAAAGGAAAAAAAAAAAGGTCTCGTAGATTATTTTACTCTAATCCTGCCTACAAGAATTTTAAGTGCTGCAGCTATTGAGGATTCTCTCAATTATATGCAGATTAATTTGGTACTTAATCAGTTACTTGACATTTCGTGAACAGAACCACTTGGTTGCCAAAAACATCTTATTTTTAAATACACGATAGTTCAAATACAAACAAATCAGTAAATTTATGCTGAAAATAAGAAGCTTAAACTGAAACTATCCAGACGAAAAATTTTGTATTGCAAATTGTAGTTTCATTGTTCAGTCAAAAATATTGCATATATAAGTGAACTTTTCCTATTTCTTGGTAAAGTTGATGTCTAGTTTTTGCATGTATAGCTGATATATATATGTATGGAATGGCTCTTATTATATCTATACAAAGAAATATAAACAATAATGATCCTTTATGTTATACATGTTAGAACTGAATGTCTATTATTGTCTGATAACATTAGCTACAATTTATGAAGTTAAGAACTATGTTGTAAAAAAAGCTGCATTGCTAGATTACACCATTTAAGTTTATTTTACAAAAGTTATCATGCATTTGTTAGTAATTTTTCATTTTTAATGTCTCCATTAAAAGTTATTTTTAATCTACAATTTAGTATAACCGGTCTTTATATTGATAAATCTCTCCACGAAAATAATTTAATTTTTGCATTCAGCTTTTTTGCTGTTGCCTTTAACTGGCAAGATGTTAGTGTTACAAATAGAGTATATTGTTTAACCCTTTCCTGACGGGGGTTGGTATTAAATACACGAGTTTGCATACATATTTGCACACGTTAAGTATTTATACGATAACTTTTAACGAAGCATGTGTATCTTCACAAAATTTGGTAGACTTTTAGTAATGATTACAAGTCTTTTGTACACAAAAAAATAAGATTTTTAATTAAATATTTTTACTAAAGATTTGTTTTTGAAAATATCGAGTCTGTTTCATTACTAGTCCGAGTGCGAACTGATTTTCATGTTATAATTAAAAAACTCTTCTTCGTCCAAAAAATCGCAAATATTATTTGTGTACTCTCTAAAACCTCCTAAATACATTTCAAACATTTATTTCAGTAAAACTTTATATTTTATCTGTTATTTTCTCTACGCTAATTATATACAGGGTGGGTTAATTTGCCCGCCCTCGTAACCATCATAAAAAATAAAGAAATAAATGTAAATTATGATTTATTCGTTATAGAATGACTACAAATTATAACAAATTAATTAAACTCAAATACTTGGTCTAAATAGCGTAAATCTCATAACATTATACATTTTTCCATGTGTATTATTTTT